TTACCACGTTGATCATCATCATCATTATCGCCATCTTCATCATCATTATCATCACTATCTTCATCATCATCATCATCTCAACGCACATTAAGTCTTCATTGATTCATCTGGTCTGGATGCCCTTGAAAGCAAATGGTCTGCTTCTGAGGTATATAACTTTTTCTTGTTCATTCTTTCATTAATTATTAATTAATTAATTTATTCATTCACTAATTAATTAATTAATTAGTGAATTAATTAATTAATTCATTCATTCATTCACAGGCAACGGACCCAAACAGTAAACTAACAAGAGAATCACTATATGTCAAGTTCGACCCATTAGTTCCGAAAATCTACGCTGCTGCAGGTCAAGTATCATACATACATATTAATATATGCACGCTCACACATATATATGTACATACATACTTACATATGTGTATACATATATGTACATACATACATACATACAAACGTACATACATATATATAATATCATGGTAATTGTCAGTCTTTTAATTATTTTAATTGTTCAGACACAGGCACCAAAAAATCTCACCCAAGTTCAGAAAGTAGTGATGATCTTCTGCAGATGAAATCGCCATCACCAATCACGACAACAACAACCGCCACCACAAAGAAGCACCGCCAGCATCAGGGTGTTGGTAGTAGTAGCAGCAGCAACAATCAAGGTTGTAGTAGTAGCGCAAACCAAGGTAGTAGCGGTAGTAATCTGAATCAAAGGAGTAGTAGTGGTAAGCAAAGACAACAGCATAGATCAAATAATAATTCGCCATCTTCTACAAGTTCTTTGCCATCCGGTCATGGCAATGCTGCTGCTGCTACTACTAGCAGCAGCAGCAGTGGTAGCTGCTTGCAGGATGAATCCCAACTGTTGCTAGATAAGCTGCTTAGCTGTAGCCCGGCTAGGATGGATTCTGGAAATGTTAGGGGCGATGGTGATGATAGATAAGATGATGCGGGTGATGATAATAAGAAAGATGATGATGATGTTGATGCTGATGATGGGTACGATGATGATGTTTATGATGGCTCTTTTAACTTATAACTAGAAATCAATGCTCCTGGACTCCAGGCTGACTGATTCGGTTGCTATCGATCCTAGAGATGCTGCAACAGTTAGTTTTCATTCAACTCATCAATCCATCCATCCATTCATCTATCCATCCATCAATCCATATATCCATCCATCCATCTATCATTCAACCAGCCAATCAGTTAATCGCTCAACCAAGCAACCAACCAATCAGCTCCTAGCCCCCAGGTACACCAGTGGAGACTTACTACGCATGCAGAAAGAGTGGGACCTCAATTTCAGGACACGCCTGATCAATCGCGAACGCGATTGGGCTGCCAAGGAGGACGAGCTTAAACGTGATTGGTTAAAAAAGATTAAGTCTCTGGAGGAGGAAAAAGCGAGAGCCAATGAGAGGGTAGAAAAGATGCAGGCTTCTATGTCTTCTATGAGGTCTGTTTGCATTGACAGTTTTGATTGGCTAGCTGGTCTCGTCGGTTGATTGTTGTTAGCTTGATTATATGGTTTGGTTGACTTTGATTGACTGGTCGATTCTGATTTTTCAATTTATCACATTCTTGATAATGATTATTCTAAATATTTGAATTTTTTTTAATGAAGAAAAGTATTAGAGGAATACGAACTAACCATCAACAAATTGATTGGTAATACTCTTTGATGAAGGAACGAATGAATGAGTTGATTGATTGAATGAATGAATGAATGAATAAATAAATGAACGATTGAATAAATAACGAATTGATTGGTCAGCTCAATCATTCCTTAACACAGAAATGAAAAATCTGTCGTCAACATCATCCAAGGAGGCCATGGATAACATAATTAGAGAAAGAGATCAGGTTGGTTGATTGCAGGAATGAATGAATGAATTAATTAATTAATTAATGATAGGATGAATGAATGATAGGATGAATGAATATTGATTGACGAACAGGCTCTTGAAGACTTACAAAGTGTTGAATCTGCTTTCTCAGACCTACACAAGAGATATGAAAAATATAAAATAGCGGTCGAAGCTTGCAAAAAAGTGAATATTATCATTCTTTTTTTCTCTCATTAATTAATTAATTCATTCATTCATTCTTTCATTCATTCATTCATTCATTCATTCATTCATTCATTCATTCACTCACTGGCAGAATGAGTTAATGTTGAAAGGTCATATAGAAAGTTTGAAGGAGTCCATGAACAGATCTGAAGATAGGTACACTGCATTCAAACAATACGCCGAAACTACTATCAGCACGTTAGTGATTGACTGATTGACTGACTAATTGATTGATTGATTGATTGATTGATTGATTGATTGATTGATTGATTGATTGATTGATTGATTGATTGATTGATTGATTGATTGATTGATTGATTGATTGATTGATTGATTGATTGATTGATTGATTGATTGATTGATTGATTGATTGATTGACAAACTATTCAATTACCATGTCAACCAACCAATCA